CAAGAATGGATTCCCAGGAATGAGTCTTCTTATGTGTTCTACTAGGTGCTATTTGACTATGGTGTTTTCTTAAACCATAGCTTTAGCTATTATTCAACCATTTTGTGTGGAAATAGCTCGACTTTTTAAAGCATGGGGAAACCAAAATCGTCAATATCTAGAATTCTTTTGGTGAACTTAAGCTAACAGTAAAAATAATTCTAAAGATAAAACTGTCATGCTTCTGGATGTCCCACTCCCCCCCGCAATATAAAATGAAACAGCAGTTTTCTTTAATCAAGGAGGGTCATTGCTTCTCATTGAGGTTAGGTGATCCACAAGATGGCAGCATTGAAACAGAAAGAAGGCACCTAGGGCTTCTTGCCAATTGAACTTACAAACAAACCTCAAAATAAGTCCGGTGCACAATAAGGTAAGTCTGGTATTATGTACCGGATTAAGGTCAGGCTGAGATCCTATCTTGTTTTGGCTTTACTTTAACTTTGTTGAAGTGTTTAACACAACGTAGTTTGTTTTCTGCGCTGAACTCCACCTCTGTTGCTCTTCCCTGCCTTTGACAATAGTGTTTGGAATTTTAATGGAAATATGTATTAAATAGAGAAGGATGATTTTCTTTTCATGTTTAGCTTTCAAGGAATTCTCATCAAGTGTTAATGTCAAATTCTGGAAGGAACGTACCATATGAATTGTCAAAATGGAGCTGGATGAATCTCCCCTCCAATGACAGCGTGACCTCTCAAAGGGAGTACACGGTCACTTTGGGAAAGTAAACTACTAAGCCAGATGACATTCGTGATGTGACCACTTTCAGTTAGTGGGAAAGGGCTATATTTCACGGCTGTAGTGTCATTGGAGGGATATATTTTATGTCTAGTCTATTATAACCATGAAATAGGACTTCTTAAAGCATGAGAAACCTGCTCCAAAATTTACACACTTTTGCACAGGAAGATTGAATTATGCAGATGAAGTAAAGCCAACGGAACACTGACTGAATGGCTGAGTAACCTTGTATGTCAACCTCTCAAGACACTGGAATGTATTGTTGCATAATCTCATTAGAAAATGCTAATATTGGGAAATATTAATTTGTGTGTGGTTTTGTCTTTTCTCCTCAAGTATAGTTTATAAACATGCAAGAGAGCAGCAAGCCATTACAATATGTGTATTTCTGGTTATATTTATCTTGCTAATGTGTTACATTTATTGTAGTAGTGAAAACTACACAGTTCATTATTTTGGCTATTAATATTCTGATGCGATCTTAAAATGAACTTGGATATCTTCATAATGACCAGGACTGGGATGGCTTTGCCTGAAAAGATGTTCTAGGCATTTCTCCTGCCTGCAGTGAGTGGCAGTAAGTCTTCCAATATCCTCCCCAGTCTGGTGAATTTAACAAGGCCAACTACTCAGCTTTCTGTATCTTTCCTCCCTTTTCTCTTTTTGCCCCCGATCATATATTTATGGCAACTCATTTATTTAAAAGAAATGTTTTTTAAAAAATGTATTTTGTTGGGCAGGGGTGTGGAGTCAGTGGCTGGATGTTGAAAATTCCAGCCTGGCTTGAGAGGCAATTAAACACAAAAAACACTCGTAAACAGTTAAGAAAGAAAAAAAGTAAGAAAGAAAGAGAAGAAGAGAAAAAATGGAAAAGAAAAAGGAGTGGGAAAAAAACAAGCAAAGAATGAAAGAAATATACAGGACTATTGACCTTTAAATCTTCAAAATAATACCTAGGCCCTGGAGCTGCAAAATTCTCATTAAATTCAATGGGAATAATCTGGTTAAATCCCTTCTTGACTCTTAAAAAATAGCAGGAAATAATATTCTGAACTTAAAACAAATTTATAGTCTCTGTGAGCAAGAACCAGCTGTGCGCGTGGAACCTATTTGGCTCGCGGTTGAATCATTAACACCATATATGCACAAGGATTTAATTTTTAAATCTGGTATTCAAAACTTCTACTGAGTATGTTAACTCCCTTACTCATAGGCTGATCTCTCAGTTCAAACAAGTGGAGGTGATGAGGCCCGTGTAATCACAGGTCAGGAGCACGCTCTGAGCGGCTGTAGTAATGCTTGAAGATCATAAGTGAGGAAGAGGCCTTCCAAGGGAAATTGTATTAAAAATGCAGGCTTCTCATCAGCTCCTGGCAGAGCATTAATAGACGTTTATGCATCTGATTGCAACCTAGACAGTATATGAATATTATATACACACTGAGTTTATTATATGAAATCTTAAGACTGCTGGAGTCTACGTGGCTTCAGCAAAATTGGATTATGAAGAAGGTGTAGGAGTCTCATTTGCTGCTGCTGGTAAAGATACCTAAAGAATCCGAAACCTGCAGAGCAGTGTGGATTATAAAGTATCAACTAGGTGTATCTCACCCAGGGTGTGCAAACCGTTAACGCACTCACTACTAACCAGAATGTTAGAGGTTCAAGTCCACCCAGAGGGGCCTTGGAAGAAAGACCTGATAATCAACTTCTGAAAAAATCAGCCATTGAAAGCCCTGTTGAGGACAATTCTACTCTGATACACGTGGGGTGGCCATGAGTTGGAATTGACTCCACTGCAACTGATTTGTTTGTTTTTGATTCTTTTTTTTTCAGCCCTGGCCTCTGAACTCCTTGCCCGTTCAGGTCCTCAAGCAGGGCCTGGGCACTGACTTAGCTGGGAGACAACAATGCAAACAGAACTCCTCCAAAGAAGGTCAGACAAACCAGTGCTCACAATTGAAGGCTTGGAGCCCAGACTCATGACTCAGGCGACAGAAAAACTATTAGGAAACCAAGTCGATTTGTAAAGGACTCTGTGCTGACTGTGGAATTCAAAGCACAACAGGCTGCCTCTCTCAGTAAGTCACGTGGTTTGAACAGAACTCGTTCAGATGGTGGTGGAAGTGGGTCTTACTGGTTTATGATTTGCGTACCTGCCCTCCGACCACAGTAGACCCTATAAGATGGCCACCTGGCTCAGAAGTTCCTCTCTGATGCCATCAGGTAAATGGCCTTGAGCTCATGCCCCAGTCAAATACTTTAACAACGTCATTCCTGCCCTGCCCACCATTCAGGGGAGAATTATCCAGAATCTATAGCTTTCCATTTTCTCCACAGCTGTTCTTTACTTTTTGTTTTTTTAATGATCTCTAGCTCTCTTAATAGGAAGGAGGAGAGAGGAGATAAAACAAGTTAGTTGGCAACTTCATAGTGGATTTAAGTAACTATCTGGCAAGAAAAGCAGCTCAAACAAGAGTTAAAATGCTTATGACTTCATCAGAACTTCATTTATTTATCTCACCCCTCTTCCCTATTACAAAAGGTTGTAGAAAGCCAGCTGGTGGTTACTATCCTTTCTCCACATAAAACCCACACTGAGGGCAAAGAACTACCAGGGCCTAAAGGCAGCTTGAGGCAGGGCCCCACTCAAGAGATCGTTGTTGTTAGCTGCCGTGGAGTTGGCCCCCGACTCATGGCGACCCCATGCACAAAAGAATGAAACACAGCTGGGTCCTGGTCCATCCCCATGATCAGTTGCAGATCGGACTGTTGTGATCCATAGAGCTTTCACTGGCTGCTTTTCAGAAATAGATCACCAGGCCTTCTTCCTAGTCTGTCTCAGTCTGGAAGCTCTGCTGAAACTTGTTCAGCATCATAGCAATACGGTGGCTGCCCATGAGATACATCATACCCCCATCTCCCGCATGGAAGGTGAGAATTTTACCAGCAAACACCACAGACCTTTCACTCATGAGGTAGCTTCAGCTATACGAGGGGGATACAATCTTTGAAAGCCACCTTTTACAATTTAGAAAGATGTGTGTAACTGTAGAGTTTTCAGAATTTAGGTGATTATTCTCTTGTTTTTTATTGTACTGGCATTTAGGGGTGTTTGAGCTTAGCGGTGGCAGGAATTGTGTCCACCTGAGCAAACCACGGGAAACTTCGGGTTAAGTTCAGCTGAAGAGAAGTTTGTTTTACAGTTTAATCAGGTCAACACTAACAGTGTCCTTTAAGGAAGCATACTAATTAGAGCCGTCCTTTCTACTTTGAGCCTAGCTGGGTAGTGTCATGCTGTTGAGGAAACGTTGATATACACCACACGCCCCATTAATAGGTGACTGTGGAGGCCAAGGCTGAGTGTGCTTCAATAAAGGAAACAGGAGAAGCAGGACAAGTGACCTGTTCACCTTTCTCTAATGATTAACTTTGAAGTATTTAAAACCTCTGATTGCTTGTACTATTTCCCTTCATGTGTGTCTGTGGGGAGGAATTTCACAGAATCCTAACAACAAAACAAAAGAGAGAGGGAGGGAGGCCACCGTTTAATCATGGCTGGCCTCTGGTAAAGGAGCCCTGGTGGTGCAGTGGTTAAGTGCTCGGCTGCTAACCGAGAGGTCGGCAGTTCGAAACACCAGCCACTCCTCAGGAGAAAGATGTGGCAGTCTGCTTCCATAAAGATTTATAGTCTTGGAAACCCTATGGGGCAGTTCTACCCTGCCCTATAGGGTCACTATGAGTTGGAATCCAGTCAGCGATGGTGGATTTGGTTTTTGGTTTGGGCCTCTGGTAAATAGCCAATGAAGGACTTTGAAAGTCATTATGCATTTCTATTAATAAACTGATGAGGAGCTGCTGTTTCTGGGAAGGCTCCCCGCCCCATGGACAATTCCAGCCATGGTTTCCTGAACCCCATTTCATGGCCTGCCCACTGGAAACGCTCTTGTAAAGCTGCCAGCTCTGTGGCAGGCAAAACTGACAAACTTTGCCTGTCTCGGCACTGCAGAATGGTGATGAAAATAAATACTCAGGCTGCTGCCTGTGAGATTTCCTTCTCCTGTAGTTTGCAAACACAGTCTATGTCCTAGATGTGCTGCATTTAAACAAAGTATGTTACTCAGCTCCTTCAATTGCAAGCTGGGATTGTCACCATTTGCCAATTACTGATGGAGAAGGAAATCTCACTCCCTGCTGCATATACATGTGGATGGAAGGAAAGAAATATTTATGGCTCATGCTTGGAGACCAGATGCTGCGTGCCATCTCTCCTTCTAGGACGTTCAGGGAAACTGAAAACCGAGAAGCGCAGCAATGCACTATTTTTTTTTTGGAGGCAGAGTGTGCATGGAATCAACCAAATTTTATATTTAATTTGATACCTGATTGTATTGTACTGTCTAAGACTGTTGGCTTTTCTGTGGTCAGCACAGTGGTACCCCCTGAAAAACAAAAACAATGACATACAAAAATGAGAAAAAGGAAGCAGATAATTTGCAATGCAGACACTTTGCATGCTACATGCATCTATTAGAAGCAAAGATTTTCCATAGAAAATTCTTCCTTTAATTTCAGCTATAGCAGTGATTTTAGTGACATTTTACTCCCTACAAGTATCAAATTCAAACAAATCATTGTTTTTTTTTAACCCAACATGTTTCTTCTAAATCGTCAAGGCGACATGGAGAGTTTGAGAAATTGTTACAAGGGCATTCCCTGGTTTGCCGTCTAAGCCTAGCATACAACTGCAATAGTGAAAAGCAAGGGCCTCTAAAAGTCCTTGGTGACTTGGGCATTAAACTCAACCTAGACCTGTAAGCTTCAAATAGTTCTCCAAGGTTTCAGCTGTGTCCCTTCAGGGGAGTTGCAAAGCTAGATCCTACAATCTAGTTTAAAACTGAACGTTTAAAGTGAGTGACAGTGGTTCCCCCTATTTTTTTTTTTTTTGGAGCGGGGGGCACTGCTATAGTTGTTTATTTTTTCCAAGGACAAATATTCTGCCCAGGATGTGGTTTGAAGAAGCTGCAGCAGGCAGCAGGAAACAGGGAAGAGGAGAAATATTTCTTCGTTGTCCCAAGGAACTGTGAGATTGAACAAAGGACGAGTTGAACACTGAACTTTCAATCAATGTGGACAACATTTTGGAATTCCCAGTTAGGGGACAGGCAGTAACTGAGTTGAGACTTTGCTTTGCCCTCTATTCTTCTGTGTTTTAGCTCTTCCATTTTCCACTCTTATCACTATACTTTGTTTTAAAGTGGTGCTCTCAAACATGCCCAATCATAAAAATCACCGGAGTGCTTGTTGAAATTGCAGATGCCTATCTATCTATCTATCCCACCATTGTCTGTCAGTTTGTTGTACTGTGGTGGCTTCCATGTAGCTGTGATGCTGGAAGCTATGCCACTAGTATTTCAAACACCATCAGGGTCATCCATGGTGGACAGGTTTCAGTGGAGCTTCCAGACTTGGAGGTAGATCACCAGAAGAAAGCCTTGGTGATCTACCTCCACAAACTAGCCAATAAAAACCCTATGATCACAAGAGAACATTGTTCGACTCACTTTCTTTGAGCCCTTCATTAGGAGGGATCAGTTGCTGGAGGAGGATAACATGTTTGGTGAAGTAGAGGGCCAGCGAGGGTGGGAGACCCTTGGTGAGGTGGATTGGGACAGTAGCCGCAACGATGGACTTGAACATGTTGGAATTGTGCACATTTTCTTGCACTCTTTCATGTACATTATGTATTGCATAATATATATTTTTATTTGATGGATTAAAATCTTTTTAAAAGTCATAGCAACGTCAGAAAAGAGGGACAAAAGCACCAAGTTTTTCCCCACCCAGGGAATTTACTTATGAAGTACATGGAGGATTAACTGGAAAAAAAAAAAAAAGACAGTATTTTAAATTCTTACACTCCAGATAATGGCAAAGAAATGAGTGTCTGTGCTTTCCCAAAATTTGGTTAAATCACCCAAACTCTTCCTATTAGACTATCTACTAACTTCCCGTCTGTTAAAATGGATGAATAACTTGTTCAAAATCACAGTCACAAAAATGTTTATTATAATTCCCCAAAGAATACCTGCTGGTCCACTCAAATATATTTGCAGTTTCAGAGATACAGTCCCACTTAGCTACTTACACTTTGTAATCTTTCTTAAATGTTGAATATTGTGGTTATGACTGTTACTGTCTACACAGGCAAGGATTTTATACATGCAAAGCACCTTGTAATTTTGTTTGATGAGATATAGAAAACTCTATGGCATTTTACCCACTGACTTTTGAACCTCAGACACCTTCATACTGATAAGGTTACTCAGAAGCCCAACAATGTCTGTATTTTGCATCAGTTTGGAAAATCTGCTAAGACAAGCTGTTGAGGATGCAAAAAGGAAACATAGCTTTTGGACAACCAGTCACCACTACCGCTGCCACCACCACCATCATCATCGTAATAATAATGCATCTTCCATGTCTAGACATTATACTGAAAGCCCTAATATACTGAATCTTATATTCCTGGAAGACAGGCAGCATTACCATCACGTTACAGAATACAAAACTGAGGTTTGGAAGGGTTAAGTAATTCACCCCAAGAAAAACAGAGTAACAGAGCTGAGACTCAAAGCCATTCCAAAGCTTGTACTCAGTCGACTTTATAGCAATGCTGTCTCTCTTGGCCATCCCTAAGTAAACTGAGGATTTGACTCAGTTAACGACAAGATACAGAACTAGTCCTGGGCCTGTTTGCCCTCAGATCCTTTGCTTGTCCTTCTCTGATCTCTGTAGCACAGGGAGGACTGACGTTTCTGCGTCAGCTGCCTCCCTGATGTATTTGGCTGATGGGAGAAGTTTGGACAGGAAAAGGAAAAACAAGCCAGGTTATTTCTTGTTACGGCCACCCCTCACCCCTGCCACATACCCTCATCCTATCAGGTGGTATCTTGGGTATCAGTTGTTTCCTTCACAACTTCAGCTGCTGCTGGGCGGGCTACCACCGGCTAACCCTAGTCCCTGGGATTCTTTCAGAATACCTCCTCCTTTTGTCCCTTCAGCCTAGCAGTGTAGTGGCATCCAACGCTTCTTCCAACACTTATGTAACCAATTCCCTGCATCAAGTTCTGTCTGTTTGAATGAGAGGTTTCTGTAAGCCTGAGGAGACCCTACAGTATAAAGACATTATCTTGTTACAGTCAGGATATTGCTAGTTTGGACTGAATGATCCCTCTTCCCACCCTGATCATCTCTCATCCTGCTGGGCAGAGGCTAAAGTTGTCTTATCTTTTTTAGTTTAAAGCTTTGAATTCTGTTCCTGATAATAATGCCATCTAACATTTCAGTATGCTTCAGATATTCTGAAGAACAGTCTATCTCACTGGAGAACCAGCTGACCCATAGCCTCTTTCTAAGGGAAACCTTCATCCAATAATTCCTACTAAAGCAACAGCCTTGGGCACAGGAATAAATGGGTGTGTCTGTTCCTCATGACACTATCACCATGGACACTACTGACTGGACCAGGAAAGGGCCTCCCACATAAGAACAACCAACTCTGGGCTGGCTGGCTTCCTATAAAGAAACCTGGAGCAAGAGCTTCGCCCATTCAGGTCAATAGCAACAATCTATAGGGTGTTTAAACTATAGATTTAGGGGTCAGTTAGTTGGAAAGAAGAGCAGAAAGTCACCCTGAGAGACACGAGAGAAAAGATGTAGTGTTACTGGCAGCAGTCAGAAAAGATTAGCAAGCTCCTGCTGTGGATTCTGCCACTCCCTAGTTTTCTGGCTGGCCTGGACTTTTGGCTAAGATTTCTGCCCCTGATCACCCTGCCTTTTAAAAAATTTCCCTTAGTATCCTTTCAATAAATTGTCTACTATTTGACATAATCTGAGTGTGTTTAATTTTCTTGCAACCAAAATAACAATCTACAACATGTTTTAAAGCTTCTTTATACATCTTCTATCTCATCTACACCACAACTCTATGAGGTAGGTAGGATGGAGGTTATTACTATCATTAAAAGAAGGCATTCAAGCTTTAGATTAGCTAAATAACTTGCCTAAGGTCACTGGGCTAAGTGACAGAGCCAGGACTGGCATCCAGGTGTTTTGATTTTTGTGTGAGGTGAGGGTGACGCAGGACTGGGCAATGTTTTATTCTGTTGTACATACATAAGGGCACTGTGAGTCAGAGTTGACTGAATGGCAGCTGTCTATTTGTCTATCTATCTACCTATCTATCTATGTATCTACATCAGACCTAACTGAGAATCAGAATTTCTAAGGTCGAGGGCTTGAAATCTGTATTTTGAAAGCTTTTAGCTGAGTTTTACAATCTGCTAAGTTGGGAAACAATGATTTGATACTTATTACTTAGGTGCTTGGAAACCCTGGTGGTATAGTGGTTAAGGGCTACATCTGCTAACCAAAAGGTTGGCAGTTTGAATCCACCAGGTGCTCCTTGGAAACTCTATGGGGCGATTCTAGTCTGTCCTATAGGGTCGCTATGAATTGGAATCAACTTGACGACAATGGGTTTGGTTTTTTGGTTTTTACTTAGATGCTTGAGAAAGCCGTTTCTCCTTCTGTGTGTCTATGACGCAGCTCATGGGCTAAGGTAATCTGTTATTCCAAGACAGAAAGTACTGAGCTGACTTACGGTAAGAGTATGGGGTGGGCCCAAGACTACCATGGAAATTTTGAGGTTGTTCTAAGGTGCGGTAATCATGTACCTTCCAATAACATCATTCAATAAAGATTTGTGATGATCTTTATCCTGGCCAGCCCCTAGTCTTATACTTGCAGCTCCCACAGACAAGAAATCATGCTACATATCCAGATCACAAATGAGAAAGCCATAAAAATCATACCCTTGAAATGATCTTAAGATTTATGAGCTCATCAGCTACAGCATCAAGTCATGTTACACCTGTTGTCCCACTAAATACGCTGGATGAGTGGCCACATATGTGCCTGGCCTCAATAAGGCAGGCACTAGAAAGAAGGAATTATATATATTATGGGTTAAGAAGGTGAACCTGTAATGGCAGAATTGGAGGGAGGCCAGAATACATTAGCATTCTGTTCCCGGTGGCCTTATAGGAGAAAGACTCAAGGTGAAAATTCACTTTTTAAAACCAGTATGCATTATCAGTTTTTGTCAGAGGCTGGAAGCCAAATTCCGCTGCTGGGTACACACAGCTCCAAAGTGAAATTTGGCCTCCTGGTGCCTTTGAAGCCAATTGTGTTATCCAATGACTTCAAAGGCATTTGCAAATGAGTAACTTCAGGGGTGGATTTTCACCTTGGCAAGCAAGTATAGCAGTGCAAAATCTCTCCGAATTTCCACGCACTTGCTGCAATTCACCTGGAATTTCGAGTTATTCTTTGTACGTAATGAACATTTTGCCACAATGCTTCTCCCCTTCTATGTACAAATAGGTCACCCCAGGAGGAGAAATTAAATCAACACTATCTGCATTAAAGAACTAAAAAGAACGCTAAAGAGAGCATTGAACTCAATCTCCATGTTCCCACCAGTCAGGGTTAAAGTGAGAATGCTCTTGGTTTGGTTTCCTTACACTGAACAGCCGAAGTTTGCAGCTCTAAGAGTAAAGCCTGTGACAGAATTAGCAGAGAGAATGCAATTTTGTGTGAGCAATAATAAGTACATTATTTAGATGTAAAGAGGCACCTGGTTTAGGTGAAGCTTTTGCTTCTTATAAATATTTACATAGGAGCACATCCTTTTTCGGTGCCCTGGTGGCGCAGTGGTTAAAAGCTTGGCTGCTAACCAAAAGGTCGGCAGTTGGAATTCACCAGTGGCATCTTGGAAACCGTATGGGGCAGTTGTACTCTATCCCATAGGGTCACTATGAATCGGAACCGACTTGATGGCACATAACAACAACAATGACACATTCTTTTTCAGAACAGGATAACACATAGCTTCATAAACTGAAATAAGTATTTTTTTAAAAAGACAAATTGCTCTTAATGCAATAAATGAATAAGAACCAAGAGAACGCCTTCTAAAATCACCTCTACTTCATGGGAGCATCGGGTGGCATTAACAACACCCCTCAAGGGTCTTAAAATACATATGTGTTTAGAGAATTATTGAAGAAGCACTGGTGGTGCAATGGCTGCTAATTGAAAGGTGGGCGGTTTGAACCCACCCAGTGGCTCTGCGGGAGAAAGGCCTGGCAATCTCCTTCTATAAAGATTACAGCCTAGAAAACCCTATGGGGCAATTCTACTCTGTCACATGGGGTCAGTATGAATTGGAATAGACTCGACAGCACACAACAACAACAGCAGCAATGTAGAATTATAGAGACGAACGTGCTGGCCTGAGAAAATAATTTTTTTTTTTTTTTTGCTATGGTAATAGGTAAAAGGAAGAAAGGCCTGGAGACCTACTTCCTAAAAAACAGCCATTGAAAACTCTGCGGAGCACAGTTCTATTCTGACACTGATGGGGTCGCCACAAGTTGGAATCAACTAGAGGCTGGTTTTTTTTTAATATGTAAAAAACAAAAGTAGAATGAACTTTTTTCTGCTACCCAAGAAATGATTTTAAACACTGTAGATAAAGCCAAACCTTGTGCTTTCACAGGGTTGTCAGTGTTTCCACTCTAAATGACCCGTTTTCTGTGGTCTATAACTTGTTGCAATACACAATTTGCTCCAGGCTAACATACTTGCCCTATTTCATTCAAAGTCTTCAGTTTCAATGGATTCAGTCATGAGCTAATGACAGATGAGAAGGTTGGTTGTTCTGATACGAGCAGTAAGTCTGAGGCTTTGTTTCTAATCAATATTAACTGACCACTTCAGGGTTTATGAAGAAAAGAACCCCCTCTACAAGAGTGTAATTGAAAAGCGTATACTGTGATCACTGTAGCCGTTCCTATTTATGAGGCATTTCACTAAGGGTGCCTGATGGCGTCATGAAAGGCCTGGGGTTTGTGGCAGTGTTTACAGGCTGCCCCGGGAAGGTTCCAAAGGACCTAGCTCATGGGACGGTTCTCTGTTTTTTACAGAATTGGAGATAGGGTTTTTCAACTTGAACATGATGTCTTATGCAGAAAATGCCTCTGCATTAATTACACTAGTTTTTGTGGCTTGAGGCTATTTACATACAAGATTTACATTCAAAAGCCCACAGCAATGTAACATTTATTGGCCATGTGAATCTAAAGGATTATCCTGGAAATCTGGAGAAAGACAGTTTTAGAAAGATGGGATTTAAATGAAAACCCAGGACAAGGTACTAAACTTCTGAGCTAAATTTTTTTTTTACCCCCTTATTCCACCTCAGAATGCAGAATGCTCTTGCTTCCTCAGAGGAGAGCTTTTGAAGTAATTGAAAATGTACTGTGGGATGTATCCTTCAAGATTTTGCACTAATGCTTTAGCCAATAACACAGTGCTGTTATGAAGTGACATGGTAAGGCCTTCCGTTTCCCCCGTGGAAATTAATTATGTTGGCTCTCTGAGTCCCGTCTGGGTAAAAATACAGACCTGCATCCAAGGGCTCATATCTAGTCTCTGAGGTTTGGGATTCTTAAAAACACAAGTCAGGTGCTATATGAAACTGTGTTTTGACCTGGGTAGCAGTAAAGTTTTCACAAAAGCTTTTTCAACAATAGGGTGAAAATCCTTATGCCTTGGCCAATTTCCAAATGGTGTAATCCCATTTCCCCACTTCCCTAATATTTCCTCTGCCGTTCCAAGTGGAAGAGAAGGTCATTTTCTAGCTCGCAGAGTTTTAGAATGTTATGGAGTAACACTCCAGACGAATTAGTGAGATATTTGGCACATGCCATCTCTGATGTATATGCTAGCTGGTGGTGATGTGAAGCAACAAGTAATTCTGCCTTTGTAAATTCTAATGTAAAATGCTTTATAAAATCCTCACTTAAAAGCTGCATTTCAAGTGTAAGCCTGGTTTCATCAATTAGTTGCATAAAGGATCCACTCAAAAAACTGGCCTATTTAGAAAAGGAAAATAAGCATTCTAGAGTGTGTGGTTGTATTTAAACAATGCATGTGTTAGGGAAGAGCTGAAAACGCAGGGTGAGGAGGGACGATGAGGATCAGTTTAGCACATTTAACCAGTTACCATGGATTCAACTTCGACTCGTGGCAACCCCATGTGTGTCAGAGTAGAACTGTGCTCCATAGGGTTTCCAATGGCTGATTTTTCATAAGTAGATCACCAAGCCTTTCTTCTGAGGCACCTCTGGGTAGATTTGAACCACCAACACTTCCATCAGGCTGAGTGCTTAACCCTTCGCACCACCCAACGATGTTAGCCATGGAAATATTCAATTAAGCTTTTTTGGCTCTGAAAATGGCTAAAATGATTGATTCAAATAGCTGTGGATATTAAGAACAATTTGTTTACATAGGTGACATGAAAGAAATGGTGACGCATGTGTCCTGGCAAAGCTGCCCCTACTCCTGGGGCAGCTCTTTCAGAACTTCGATGGCCCACTGCCACGAGGAGTTAGGCTAATACAGACAGGCATCAGTGGGTCCCCACTATGACATGAACTAAAATGGCACAGCAATGGGATGAAGATGGTTTCTGCACCTGTGAGTTGGAAGTCATCACCTGTTCCACTGTGGCAGTTGGCCTGGTCGTCATCACATTCATCGACTGGGTTCCCATTGGGAGTGGTCGGTCCAGCTGTAGGAACTGAAACAAAATCCAAGGGTTATATTTCACACCTCAGAAATGTATTCTCAAGCCGCTGGCTGTTGAATCTGCTAACCCTTTTGCAGAAAACTCCAATCTGTTCTAAGCAGGCTGGGGGCATGGTTTGACTCTCTTTCAGGAGCTAAAATATACTTGGACTTTGCAGAATGCATCAGGGGATGTTTTGTTTTGGAATTTGATCCTTATCTGCTGAGTTAGGGTTGGCTGCCTTAGCATTTTATACATCATTATCTACATAAACATTCTTTTTTTTTTTTTGGAAAGCTCTTGAATTCTCACTGGTTATTTATTCATGACCCTGGAGTTGAGAAGGAGTCCCTGAGTGGCACTAACCAAAAGGTTGGCAGTTCAAATCCACTGAGAGGTGCTTTGAAAGAAAGCCCTAGCAATCTTCTTCCAAAAGATCACAGCCATTGAAAACCCTATGGAGTGCAGTTCTACTCTGCAACACATGGGGTCACCGTGAGTTGGAATTTACTCGACAAATAGTTTTTTTTTGGAGTTGAGAACTTTGATGATAGAGATTTTGCTTGGACCATCGTTCTTTTCATTTTCAAGGCGCCAGAGAACTCACTTGGCCTGAATTCTTTTATATCCTAAGTATATACTAAGTTTTCTAAAAATATATTATTAATATTATTTCTTCAAATAGGAGTCCCATTCATTTAGTGCAACATTGTTCTTTTTTAAAGAGTCATTCCATTTCCCTATTTCCCTTAAAGTGAGCTTCTGAACCTATAATCCCTCCATTCAGAGCAGGCGTCTGAGAGGCGTTGTCTCAGATATCCTGGGGTCATTTTACCTTGACTCCCATTGGATTTCATTCCACCGTTGGCAGGTATTCCCGTATCTTTGAATTTGTAGTTGAAAGGTAGCCAACATTAATCAAAGACTGCTTTTGAAGTCTTTTAAATTTAGTTCATTCATTTTTTTTTTTTTAGCCTGTTACTCATTTTTGCAATCTGTTTAATATTTTACAGTTTTCGGCATTACATATCACTTTACAAGACTTGAGATAATGGACATTTCTCTTGATGCTGGAGAACCGGACAAGATGTCAGGAGTGGGAACCTATTCTTTTACAGTTTCTGGCCGGGAGGAATTTTCTGGTTACTGCCACGTTCTCAGTAAAAGTTTGACACTGGTTGTTACTGTGATTAAGTAAAGAGTAGGGTTATGACAAATGAGGCATGTACCTGAGTTTCAACTTCCTCCAATTTCCTCAACTGCCCGAATACACACACCAATAATAACTAGATCACCAAGTACAGATAACACACACAGCATTTGGCACGCAGTTCAGACTTTGTAAACTGCAGACATGTGTGTTCTGGGCTCTACTCAGTGATGTCAGTGAATCAATAGAATCGTCTATGGCAGTGCAGATAGCTGTCTTCTCTAAGCTGTCCTTATTCTCGATAACATGCCACTTTTAAATACTTTGAACAGTCTCACCATGAGTTGGAATGGACTCGATGGTGACTGGTTTGGTTTTGGTTTATCTGTCTTGATGCTTTTTCTGCATTCCTTATGCTAATTATAAAGAGGGGCTTCCATCTTGGAAGTGGCCCTGAGTGGTGCCTAGACTGAACAGAAAAATTAGAAAGTGAATGATTTTGCTCCCCAGTTTTGCTATATGAAAATATTTCAGCTTCTGTGGTTCTCCAGCTGTTTCTTAAATAGAAGTGCCAGCTCAAAACAAGTGGAAAGCTCATGAAGGCTGCCCCTGATCTTTCCGTATCCTTCGAGGCGCCTCCTGTAGAACAAGGCTCAGAGAAGATATTTATTAAGGGCCCGTTAATTGATTGAAGAAACGCACTTTCTTTCACCAATTGTGCTAAAAGCTTTGACATTCCTTTCCTCGGATGTTGGTTTCTCAAAGGCTTGGGGAAAACTTCCTCACTTTTGCGAGTCCTTGGAAACATCTGCAGGCAAATCATTCCACCAACAGTTTCTACCTCACTACAGAGTTTACACTGGCAAACTGCCACCAGGTGCAATCTTTTCAACCATCCATTCACTCCACCTCCTAAATCAGAGTTTCTTTCCAGAACCTAGGCTTAAGACCTGCATCATAACAGCAGACTCCCTTTTCCAGATGCCCACATTTCTCAGTAAATTGAATGAATGCATCTGCAGTTGGTTCACCCTGCCCATCCCTTCTTTTTCTTGGCATCCTTGCCAAAGCCCTGGCAGAAGATCTTTCTTGGTCTGTGTTGATAGCAGTTAGATAACTCAGCGGTCGGGACATGACTACAAATATGGAAACAATGACACAACAAACCATGGAAGATAATGGTCTGGCTTTAAATAAGCACATAAAAAAGTAGTGATAATAATTCAGTAGTGTGGTGATTTATAGCCTAAGATTCTGTAGCGCATAAGAAAAGTTTTATGGCATTTAATGTGCTCAGGAATGTAATTATACTTGGGTAGCTCAAAACACAAATAATTTTGGAAACCACAAGAAGGTGATATTAAAAAGCATTCTTCAAAACAACTATGAGCATATGCTCAACTGATTAACATCTGCATACCAACAATAGCCATTCTCTCAGCTATCCTGGAGAGAGACCTCAATGGGGATGGAAAAGTTGGCATAAAGTTATTCATTTACTCCCAAATCTAAGGCAGATGGGAATTACAATGCACGAAATCAAAAAATAATGCATTAAGCAACCATTATAGCATCTTTTCTCCCATGTATCTCATTCATTACATGTTAAAAAACAGAGCAGAGCGGAATCCTGAGGTCAGCACGGGAACTGAATTTGTCTTCGACATTAACCTAAGTTGATGCAGTCATACCCTTAAACAGACCTCCCAGCACTTTCGTGTACATTATTGCAGGTAAAATTTTGTCTCTCTGCAGCAGCCTTAAAAAATCATCAAAGATGCTGTCTTCATGTCTCAGCCTGTCCAGTGCTACTTCCTGCTAGTATGCAATGGTAGTCAACACCACAGACACAAACTTGGATCAGAAACAGATCTCTCAACATTAAAAAAGTCAGAAGAGAAAATCCCTGAATCTGAGGGGAGTTAAGAGAACATTCAAGAAAAGAATGTGATGCTAAAGGCCCTGATTCATGGTGTGTGCTAGAGAGAGACAGGGCCACCCAAGGGGAAAAGGGGGCAGTTTGTGACAGCACCAACAGGAGTATAAATGCATGAAAAAGGAAAGAAAAAAACAAAACTAGAGAACTAGAAGGGGCTCTGGAAATGTAATTACCTTCCACTTCACAGCCCAGCAGCTCCATCCTTAGCCCTAGTCCGCCATGAGTGGCTCTCTCGGGGTAGATCCTGATGAATCGTGTGGAAAGAGGTGGAAAAGTTCTCAGCTCAGGTGTGTCATAGTTGTTGTTGCCCTCAAAAGACTGTGAAGCATGAAAAACACTGGTTATTAAGAAAAAAATAAATGAATAAAACCTCCCTTTCAACAGTTATTTCTTCTGTCCTTTAGGATGCTTATTAGGACAAAAAAATAGGTCTCATTCTACCACTTCATAAATGGCTGACATTTCTGTCATAAATGAGAGAGGAAAAAAAGAAATAAAACTTTCTCTGAGAAGGGACAGATGTCATTTCTCAGAACTTCTATACCAACGGAGGCTATCCCAGAAGCTGAGGATTTAATGAGACATGTTTTTAAAGGATACGCTGATGTGTGCCTTGGTGAAGTGACACTTTTATCACTTCCTCGAGGTGGAAGAAGATAACTCAGGAAGAGAGCCTGCTGGTTTTTAGAGCTTAACAAGCTCTAAAAAAAGAAAAAAAAAAGTTACATTCTCTTAAAGGAGAGGGTCGTAGTTTTGCTCTAGAAGAGAGAGGAATTAAATTCCTGAAGTAGGAGCTAGTAAATTTTATCTACGGCAAACCAAAAAGCAAACCAGTTGCTGTTGAGTCAATTCTGACTCATGGCAACCCTATGTGTGTCAGAGTAGAACTGAGCTCTGTAGGGTTTTCAATGGCTGTGACCTTTTAGAAGTGTATCACCGGCCTTTTGTTCCAAGGTGCCTCTGGGTGAACTTGAACCACCAACCTTTCAGTTAGTACCCAGTTGTTTAATCACGTGTGCCACCAGGCAGCCTTAATATAAGGCAAATGTTGTTTATTCAATAACTTGGGTTATTCCAACCCACTGAAATTACTATTTACTTAAGAAGTACCTACCACTTGGAGGCATTTGTAGGTAAAAGACGTTCTCACTTCAGGAAAGCACAAGTGTCCTCATTTTATGCTTTGAGACTGGATGAACTGCAGTATGAACCTGTATCTCTTTAGAAGTCAACGTGACATTTTTGGGGAGTTAGGCCACCCACTGCCGGGCCACTGCTTGATTTTTTCCCTTTTTACATTATCTTAGCATTGGGAGTGTCCCTTTGTATATCAACCATCATATCTTGTTTGTAGGTGACAGCATTGTTCTAAGTGCTTAATATATTTACTCATTTAATCCCCAAAACAGCTCCATGAGGTAAATTCTGTTACTACCCACATTTTACAGATGGGGAAACTGAGGCACAGAGAGGTTAACTAATTTGCCCACAGCCATAGGGATGGTAAGTGGCAGAGCCAGGACTCAAACCTAGGCAGTCTGAACTGGTGCCCTTAACCATACCACCATAATGCCTGTGCCTTTAGAAATAATCTAGCCTAATCTCCTCACTTTAATAGAGCAAAACACTGATGTCTGGGAAATGTCTATGCCCAAGATCATACATTTACTTTCATTAATTTTTCATTAAATTTGATGTAGTTTGGGCTCCCAAGTCTGATTAATCAGATTGAGGAGGTGGCCAGTCCAGGACCATGTCGGTCAGTAGTGGGAACCATGCTCAATAACTGGGTCAAGGCATCGTTACAAACCAAAGGGATGATTGTTCAGTGGTGGAAACACCATGACCCAACAGCGGAGGTGCGTAAGTGGAGATAAACAGATTGGCTAGGTGGTTACATAAACGACCAGGGGTTTTCCAAGTTCTAACCAGTTAACCAGTTGCCATTGAGTCGATTCCTACTCATGGCGACCCGGTGTGCATCAGAGTAGAACTGTGCTCCACAGGGTTTTCGATGGCTAATTTTTTGGAAGTAGGTCGCCAGGATTTTCTTCCGAAGTGCTTTTGGTGGGCCTCGAACCTTCAATCTTTTGGTTAGCAGCCAAGCACGTTAACCGTTTGCAACACCCAGGGACTTCTTCCAAGTTCTAGAAGTAAATTAACTGGATTTTTTCAACCCAGAGGAGTTTCCAGGAATCTAAAAGTGTATCAATAATATAGACCTGCTCCTCTCAATTAATTTCCTTTTTTTTTTTTTTAAGAGTATTCTTTTGATAGAACTGCAATTCCTGCCAGTAACTGAGACTCTAACATATGTTATTGTTAGGTCCAATTAAGTTGCTGTCAGTAAGATGCTAATTATAATGAAAATACCATTACTACACATGCAAATTTTGTCTATGTTAACATAGCTTTAAAGATCATAGGAGAAAAGCATTCCTATCTTTGGAATCCCAGGCTCTTTTCTTAATTTTCACTTGAGGGAAGAATTAGCTCAATGTAAATACATTATAAAAGCTGACAGTGATGAGTTCAGAAGATATTAGCAATGAAAAGTCATATGGAACTGAGCTGACTTTGATATCGTAAGATTGCTTATGAATTACCTTTGTGTTCTACTAATCACTTTTTAGAAGAAGAGGGCTTTGAGTATTCGGATCTTCGTCTGTTTCTGAAAAGTCTGGTTAATTCAGACTCTGATATACCTGGTCCATCATATACTATTTAGGGGTAGGGAGTGAGGAGAGGGCATACAAGATTTTAAATCCAATAAAAAACCAAAAATAAAAAAAAAAAAGAAGCAACCCAGTTGCAGTTGAGTCAATTCCTACCCATGGCAACCCCACGTGTGT